TACAAGATTTTACAAAAACACTAATTTTTGTATGTTTAATGATGATGAAATAATGCTCATTTTATCTCCAGAGGATTTGTTGATGTGTTTCGAGTCTTCTTATACCAAAAGAACATGGACCAAAGTGATGTAAACAATACTCCATTTCCAAAATGTGGAACTAATAAGCCCCCAATACGGATAGTATGGTCCAGGAAGTTTAATCAGAGTAAAAAACATCATCATAGCTATCAAATGCCACGGTACTTCCGCTTCCTGCAATAACAAAATCTTATTAAGAATGACAGGATTCTGAAATTGTCACAACAATCTATCAGATTAGGAATATAAACAATATAATGCATAGAATGGTATCAGTTAGTGTCTGAATCCGCTACCTTAAGACGAGGAGACATCTTCAATGCGGTTTCTTGTAGTATCCCTGCACTGCAACAACTATACCGATGACTAACGGAAACGGGACTAAAGCAAGTCTCCTCTCATGAGCACAATAAGACATTTCACTGATGGAAGAAACCACCAATATCAGAACGAACAAGAACTTAAGGACTGATATGGCGAGATCAAGAACGAGCTGTACGAAGTTTTCAAATGCTCGGAATAGCACCACTTTCAACGATAACATTAGTGTGCTCTGATGTCCCTGAAGCAATATTGGTGAGCCCAAGCTGCCTCAAACTAAACACAAAACATAAATGAACAGCAGAAGCAAGTTAAATACATATATCAGATTCACCAAAATCATCGATGAAAAAACGAGGTTATTCCTTAAAATGATCACCTGAAGTTCTAGAAAGAAACTTCACAACACGAAGAACAACACCATATTGTACAACATCATTGATAGGAGGATTTTTTCTACAGAAATCAATATACAACTGATAAGAACTCTTAACCAAAAGAGTTGATCATGATACAAAGAAGATTAATAAGATCAAATCACACACCGATAGAAATCAGTCTCCTCAAGAGATTTGTTGCTTCCAGTTGTGAATTACTATCTTCAGACCAAATCACAGCAACCATATTTGGAAGATTTTCCATTAACTGCAATACGTATAGACCATGTAATCACAAACAAACACTATGCCAAAATCCGCTCTACCTAACACAAATTTGATGGTTTAGGTCGAAATTTTCTCAACATGTCAAATTCAATACAACTAAACATCAAATTCCTTATCTCAATGTAAGTACCTGATGAGAGTTGTTTTACCATTTATAAGCAAATTAAGTTATCAAATAAAACCTAACAAAGCTAACAACCTACTCATGATTCAATTGCAGCAAGTGAAAGGGTTCGAAACAAGGAAGACGAGGACTCAAAGTACTAGACCACAAAGAACTTTCATTAAGCGAAAGCATCAACAAGGGTTTGGTTTGAATGAACTAAACTAAGCAGAAATATAAATAAGCTAGAGATACGCAAAACAGAAACTTAAAAGCAAATGCAATGATGATGGAAAGCACCAAGTATCGGGATAGCAACCTGATGCAGATCAATAGATCTCGGCTAACAAAGTCAGGGCCTTTAGTATTAAGCTCACTCTTAAGCATGGGACACGAATAATGATCATCCCACCTTCGTGATGCTACCAACCACTTTGTTGAGTACAAACATCTTACTAACTTTTACTGCTAGATATAAGTACCCTCCAAGCATTAAGTTCAAGTCCCAATAAGCTCACCTAACTCCCCTAACAACACTTTTATGACCAGGGGTCGCTAAGCCGAGCAAAAGGTCAGTCAGGCATTCCATCAAATACCGTTCGAGCAGAGGAATGCCTCAAGACAGAGCTCAAGGCCGTAACCGAGAACCGAGCATTAATCTCAACCTAAGCTCGAGAAACGTAAGGGTTAGGCCGAAACTAAGTTAGCCAAGCTCTAAAGCTTCTACATCTACTACCTCGATACTCGATGAGTGGACTACTCACTCATGGCTACGGGAAAGGCCATGATTGAGCTCGAGTGAGGTGCGGATGATGAGGTGTGAAGATAAATGCGATTAACAAGTAAAAGATTGAAACTTTAAGCTAAAGACTAAAACTTTATAACCAAAGTAACTTAGAACATCAAAGATCTGATGCTCTAAGGATCGATTACAACTC